AAACCTTTTTTATTAAACAATCAATAGTTTCGGTTATCGAACACATTTTCTAGATCAAATCTCTTCTAATTAACCACATCTCTTTTTTTATTATATAAAATCCAAAAGTTTGATGAACACTCAATCATTTTGTATAAAAAATCAAAAGTTTTGATTTTGGAACACATTTTCCAGAACTTTTCTCTTGAAAATATCCTTATCATAACTATATTAATTTTATATTATATTATATCCAAATCTTCCAACAATTTTCAAAGGCACTTTTCTTTAAACCATTTCTGTTACATTCTGTTTTTATAAAATATTCAATCTAAATTAACAAAAAACCAAAAGTTTAATGAACACTTACCTTTTTTGTTAAACAATCAATAGTTTCGGTTTTCAAACATATTTTCCAGATCAAATCTCTTCTAATAAACCCCATCTCTTTTTTTATTATATAAAATCCAATATTTTCCAGATCAATTCTAAATATTCTTGTTAAACTCTTTTTGTTTTCTTATATTCAATCCACATTAACAAAAATCCTAAAGTTTGATGAACACTCAATCATTTCGTATAAATAATCAAAAGTTTTGATTTTCGAACACATTTTCCAGAACTTTTCTCTTGACAATATCTTTATGACAACTATTTTTTTATATTATCTTCTATCCAAATCTTTCAACAATTTTCAAATGCACTTTTCTTTAAACTATCTTTCATACATTCTGTATTTATAAAATATTCAATCCAAATTGATCAAAAACTAAAAGTTTAATGAAGACTCAAACCTTTTTTGTTAAACAATCAATATTTTCGGTTTTTGAACATATTTTCCAGATCAATTCTAAATATTCTTGTTAAACTCTTTTTGTTTTATTATATTCAATACACATTAACAAAATCCAAAAGTTTAATGAACACTCAATCATCTCGTATAAAAAAAATCAAAAGTTTTGATTTTCGAACACATTTTCCAAAACTTTTCTCTTGAAAATATCTTTATCACAACTATTTTTCTTTTATATTATATTCAATCCAAATCTTCCAACAAATTTTATTCTTTGTTACAATCTGTTTATAAAATATTCAATACAAATTGACCAAAAACCAAAAGTTCAGTAGTTTTCGAACAATTTGTCACACTCACTAAAAAATCCACATTAATTTAAAAAAAAACAAAATTGCCACGTATTTCTAAATTTATAAAATTTTAAATATTATCCTACAATTAATTAAAATAATTTGTGTTGAAGATAAATTTTGTTTGACTTTTCTAAACTAAAATTTGTTTTATTG